AAAAATTTATTCATGCATAAGCTTTCATGAGTCAGAGTTCACTTTATCTTAGGCATGAACTGTACATCTGTAGCAATTTATTGTCATGCCTGCCCCTGCTGATGACCCTGATGAGGCACCTGCCAGTACCAGCCAGGAGCATGTGGAATTGACACCACATGCTCCTGAGGAAAGTGCTGCAGCAGAGACTTATAGACAAAGGCTGGCTCCTGTGGCTGAAAGCTCCCTAAGTGATGAGGAGGATAGAGCCTCCCAGGAAACACCTGCACGGGATCAGGCTTTGCCGCAGCACAGAGATTCCTCGCCCGATTCACCACCAGCTGTGACCAGGCTCCGGAATCAACGGAGACAGGAGCTGAGAGATCGACGCCGGAATGCACGCATGCGTGGAAGACGATCTCTCAGCCCTGAGTATTGACTGGAGCTTGACCTCGCTCCCTGCCAGCTAATGAGGTAATTAGCCAGCACTGTATATCTTCAAGTCTGTTGCTGGAAGGAACTTGTGCTGGCAAACGTCTTTTGACAGGACCTACTCCGTGTATCTCTGCTTCAGAACTCTTGTCGTCTTGATCCTCGGCTTTTGACCCTCGGCTTCGTTGACCCTGCTATCGTCTCTGACTCCTCTGGCATCGTTTGGATTTATGGACATTGAACTCTGGTATGTCTGACCCTGGCTTTGGATTCTGATTTAAACCTGTTTGAACTTTGCTGCTTGTCTTACTCGGCTTGACTTCGGACTGCTCTTGGACTTTGCTTACTTGCATCACGCCCCCTGGCCCTGCCGTGACATTGATAACTTAGCATATAAAACTCCAATATTTGAAAAAATAGAATTTAAACGTTACAAAGGACTTTTCCCCTTACAAGCAAAATTGCAGATATACTCAGTATTTGAGAAAAAAACCTGCAAGCTGATGCAACCTAAACTGCCTTAGCACATGTACCTTAATTTTTGCTATCTGAATAGAGAGAGCTCAGTTCTTAATGGAAAGTTCAGAGTTCTTCTTGGAGGCTTTGGTGCAGTTTCTGCTCCACCTTGTTTTTAAAAGCATTTCACTCATTTCACTCACCCAGTACTTTCACATTTTTTCCAATTTTTTTCCGCCAGTTTTGAAAATATTTATTGTGATTTCAGATACAGTACACCGTTGCTTTGATATATCTTAATCAAAAGAATCCACCATATAACATATTGTTCAATTCACCATGATAATCATTAAATGATTGTATTCAACATTTTTCTAGCCAGCTGTACAAACTAAACCAAGATCCCTCAAATATTTCTTGACTTTTCCCCTGTAAAATCAATGTAAGCTTATCCATTTCGGCTATTCCTAATAATTTTGATATTAGTTCCTCCTTTGATGGAATTTTCTCAATTTTCCAATATTTGGCAATCATAATTCTAGCCACTGTTAATATATGAATTATCATATATAAGTCTGATTTTTTATATATCTCTGAAATTACATTCAATAAAAATACTTCTGGTTTAAATGGTATTTTTAAGTCTATTATTTCTTGTATCATGTTCTGAAGTGACAACCAATATTTTTTTGCTTTAGCGCACATCCACCACATCCACGTTTCCGGATTTTGTTTACATTTCCAGCAATGACTGGACATGTTTGGATAGCATTTTGCTAATCTGTTTGGTGAGATATGCCATCTGTGGAATATTTTGTATACATTTTCCTTATAAAATGTTGCCCTGGTAATTTTTATGTTGATTTTCCAAATTCTTGCCCATTGGTCTAAATCTATGTTATAGCCTATATTCTGTGCCCAAGTTACCATAGTTGCCTTAACTATCTCATCTTGCATAATTGTTTCTAACAAAAAAGCATAGTTTTTGCATTAATTTTTCCTCTGTAACCAGCCAAATTTTATCTAAATCCATTAATTTCTCATAAAAAACATTCTTTTTATCTTTTTTAAATCTTGTTTCCAATTGTAATCTCTCCCACCACATCAGGTTTGTATTTTGTTCTTGTAATTCAGCAGTTGATTTTAAATTGTTATGGCTATCCAGCAAATCTTCCTATCTCCATAAAGGATACTTCATATATAAAGTGGGTTTTATAAACGTTTCCAAAGGAGATACCCACTTTGGTATTTTTGTATAATGTAGCTTCTTAACCTCTTGCCATGTTTGCAGTAATGAACTTCTAAGGAGGTGTTGATTAAAATATTTGTGTACTTATACCATAGGAAAGCATGCCACGCCATTAATAAATTGTGGCCTTCTATTTTCCAAAGTTACCCAATCTCTAATCCACATCATTTATGTTGCTTTATAGTATAGAAACCAGTTAGGTAATGCAAACCCCCCTCTTTCTTTCTTATCTTGTAGAATTTTCCTTTTAATCCTAGGTCGTTTGGTTTGCCAGATAAATTGTCCTATAATTTTATCTATATCTGCTGACTTTCTGTAAATTTCTTGCAACTGTATTTTTTAAAATAGTTTTTTATCTCTTGTTGGTCTTGTTCCTTTTGTTGATATAGATTCTTGTAGAAGTTCTCTATAATGTTCTAGAGGTCTCTAGAGATATATTTCTCCTCTCCTTGTTCATTTCTTAGTGATTTAATATATCTTTTCTCCCTTTCCTTTCTTATTTTATAAGCTAGTCATCTTGTTGGCTTATTTGCATTTTCAAAGTAATATTGCTTCGTATATTCAAGTCCCCCCCCAGTTCATGTCAAAAGGCAGTTTAATTGATGTTGCAGGTTCTTTAGCTTAATTCTAGTACTTTCGGAATAGGACGTTGTTTTCATCTTAAGCTCTTCTTTTTTAATTTGCTTTTCAATCTGTTGATACATAAATTTTCTTTTGTTTTCTGCACCATGCATCTTGGTTAATAAAACATCCTCTTGCAAAGCCCTAAAAGGCATCCCAGACTATATCAAAAGAAATTTTTGGTTGGGTATTACATTAAAAAAATTAAACTCAGCTTTGGTTTCCTTAACAAATGTTTCATCTTTTAATAACCATGTATTTAGGGACCATCTAGTTTTCTTCTAAATATCTTGCAATATCAACATTAAAGGGTTATGATCTGCAAAGGTAGTATCTCCACTTCAAGCAACTCGCTAATCATACTTGTCAAGATCCATGCCATATCCAGACTCGACCATGATCTATGTCTTGCCGAATAGAAAGTATAGTCCTTTGAATTTATATTCCTAGTTCTCCATAAATCAATCATGTTATATTCTTCTGCTAGTTGGAGAAAAGTTTTTGGTAACTCATTTCCTCTTTTATTTCCTCCTA